GAGGTGTGCTGGGGGCACTGTGGAGAGTGGGGTCTGGATGGAGCTGCTTGTGTGCATTGCTGGTTTCACCACCGTGGGACCTTGAGCAAGTTACTTAGTTCTCTAAACTGTTGTCTCTTCATCTTTAAAATGGGGTTGGTAATTATACCTACCTATGGGAGACAAAATAATGCATCTACCCCAAGATGTCCATGTGCTAATCCCCAGAACCTGTAAATAGGCTATCTCAGGTGGCAAAGGGGATTTTGCAGATTAAGTTAAGGGATTTGAGATTGGGAGATTATCCTCGATTATCTAGCTGGGCCTAAGGTAATCACAAGGGTCGTTATAAGATGGAGGCCAGAGGGTCACAGCCAGAAGAAGACATGAAGGCAGCAGCAGAGGTTGGAGTGAGGGAGGGGCTGTGAGCCAGGGAATGCGGGTGGCCTCTAGAAATTTAAAAAGGCAAAAAAAAAAAAATTAATAAAGATTCTTCCCTCAAGCCTCTAGAAGGAAGATAGCCCTACGGTACTGTGATTTTAGGACTTCTGACCTCTAGAACTGCAAGATAATAGATGTGTGCTGTTTTTAAGTCACCAAGTTGGCGTTAATTTTTATAGTGACAATAGGAAGCAAATATCCTACCCTCAGTGTTGTGAAGGTTAAATGAAGCAATGAGCATAAAGTGTGTTGCCAAGTGTCTGACTCTCTTCCCAGTTTAGTCATCCTTACTCCTGTGGAACCTAATCCCCCAGGGCCCTCATGTTCCCGCATGGAAAATTTGTTGAGATTTTTAGCTGAAAGGCCCACTCAGGAGTTATGCCTGGAGATCCTGACACCCTATCCAGTGCATGGCCTTAGGGGACGTTTCTTGGCCCTGCTTTTATTAATTAATTTATTTATTTGAGACAGAGTCTCCCTCTGTTCCCTAGGCTAGAGTGCTGTGGTGTCAGCCTAGCTCATAGCAACCTCAGACTTCTGGGTTTAAGAGATCCTCCTGCCTCAGCCTCCTGAGTAGCTGGGACCACAGGCATGCACCACCATGCCCAGCTAATTTTTTTCTATTTTCAGTAGAGACGGGGTCTCTCGATCTTGCTCAGAGCTGGTCTGGAACTCCTGAGCTCAAGCGATCCTCCTGCCTCGGCCTCCCCGGAGTGCTAGGATTACAGGCGTGAGCCACCGCCCCTGCTTTTATTTACTTAACTTTCTGCTTGATTGCTTTCTTCCTTGCCAGAAGCCAAATTGACAGAGCCTCCCTGATCTATTTCCAGAGCTCAGACCTCTTGTTCCTTGTCCAGGTATTCCTGCCCTACCTGGGGACACAGCCTGCATACCTGGCCCTAGTCTGGCTCCCAGAGATGGTTCATCACGTGGCCCAGGTGATAGAGGCTCTGGACTCACTGAGGGGAACCCCAGGCGGTTTTTTGTTGGGGTTGGGACCTTGTTGTTGGGCCGGGTTCGGGGGCCTTGTTTTTGGTTCCCGGTTCCCTTGGTTGCTGGGGGCTTCGTTTTCCCCTTGGTTCCCTTTTGGTTTTTGTTCCTTCCCTTGCTTTTTTCTTGGGCTTGTTTTTTCCTTTTTGGGGTTTGCGGTTGGGGAGTTCTTTTGGATTGGTTAAAGGGTTGGGAAAAAGGAGGAGGAAGGGGAGGGGGAAGGGGGGGGGAGGCCCGGGGGGGGGGCGGGCCGTTTTCCCCCGTTGGTTGTTTCCGGTTGGGTTTTCGTTTTGTTGAAAGGTCAGGTTTTCCCCCCTTCGGGTTCTTGTTGTTTTTTGTCCCTTTGCTTTGATTCTTTTTCCCCGGCCTTTTTTTCGGGTTCTTCTTTCTCTTTTTCTTTTTGCTTCTTCCAGGGGGCTTGCCTTGCTTGCCCCCCCTTTTGTTTTCTTTCCTTCTTGTTTTTTGTTTTCTTCTGCTCATTTCACCCATCGAACTTAGCACGACCTGAAACAAGTGCATTCCAGCCTCCACTGACTGGGACGTGCAGTGCACAGGGCCAGAGTTCTGTCCGTCCTATTCACTGCTACGGGCCTGATTCAAGGCACAGTGATGACTGGTTGCACGTGTGCGTGAGGCATCGGTGCTCTGGGGTGCAGGGAGCCTGGATGGCAGGCACATGCGGGCATTCCCAAAGCCGTGGGCCAGTGGGGCACCCTTGGGGTCTAAGGCTGTGGCCTGGGTGCTGGGTCAGGGTCAGGTGGGAAGTGCCCAGAAGAGCACAGCTGGAGGGTGGCTGGAGTGGGCGGTGGGCAGGCGGCAGGGCCCCTGATGTACTGACTCCTCATTTTGCAAGATGAAAGCTGATCCAGTTTAACGTGGATCAGCAACGTACTTGACCAAGGGGAGGGCTGCCGGTGGCTGAATGGTCTGGGGTCCACCCATATCAGTGTGGAGGGGACTTGAGGCCAGTAGAATGTAACAGTCAAGCACTTGGGCTCTGGTGTCCCTTCAACCTGGATTTGAATCCCTGATTTGTCATGTACTTGGGCAAATTATTGATCTGAATTCCATTTTCTACATTTATAAAAGAATTAAATCAGAAACTATATGCAAAGGCCTTAATTCAGTGCTTGGACCATAGTAGGTGTTTAATAAATGCAGGCTCTTATTACTACTACTCTGCTGTCCAGTCTATTTTCCAAACCAAAAAGTGTAACTCAGGGGCACGGATGAGCCCAGAGTCACTCAGCAACTCAGCGGCAGAGCAGGGACATGCTCCCAGGTCTGTCACACCTGGCCGGGTTGCGCTTCTCTCCCTTCCTACCAAGCCCTTGCTGGCGGCCGGAGGACCAGCCTTAGTCCCAGCGGTCTTTCTCGGTCAAGTCACCCTTGCGTCAGAAGCTCCTGCTCCCCCAGCCTGCTCTTATCCTTAGATACAAAACCTACTATGTTTTCCTTCTTTGAAGGATCTTGGCTCAGCATGTCCCCATAGGGGATGGCCCTCAGGTGGGACCTCTGTCTCAAGTTTCAGCCTAGCTGGAACCAGATTTTCAATTCCTGAACTGAATGTCACATGGGAACCGCAGCCAGAGACTGGGAATAGTTCCGTTGGCTCAGCTCAGCCTCATCAGAATCATCATCTTAGTTCATGAAGAAAAACACAACACTTTGGTTAATCTTAGTCCCCACAATGCCTAGGATCTATAGCAACCAATCCTGTAAAAATGCACATCTGTCCAGATGGCAAAACAGAGATCTAGGGCGTCTGCCAGCACCCTGTATTCAATGGCCAAATCAATGGCTTTTGGACCAGGAAGAGGCCTGGGTCATTTGGAGCAGAGGTTCCTGCTTGGATTCCTGGCTGATCCTTTTGGGAACCTGAAGGAAGCCATGAACTTTCTCTGCAGAAAAACGCACGGATGCCCAGACTTTTATATTCAGTTTTAATAGGTTTGGGGGTCTCCTAAAGACCAGTGTGGGGCACTGTTCCAGTTTGGAACCCCAGTCAAACATGATCACCTCTTTTTTCAGCTGGGTAAATGGAAGTCCGTTCATTTACTGACAGAAATGCTGATTGAGAGCCAACTTTGTGTGGGGCACTTTTGAACCCGCTTGGAAACCTGCAGTGAACAAGACATGTGAATTCCCTGTTCTCAGGAAGCTTCTGTCTAGTGGGGGCAACAAGTCGTTTCTGATGGTGACAGGTGCTGGGGAGGAAATAAAACAGCGTAAGGTGATGACCTGTGCCTGTGACAGAGGCCAGGAGTGGTCAGGGAGGGCCTCCCTGAGGAGGTGTCATTAGAACAGGCACAAGAAAATCTGGTGGAAGAGTGTCTCTGGCAGAGGTAAGAGGATGTGCAAAGATCCTGGGGCAGGAGCAGCTTCGGGGTAGTTGAGGGATGGGAAGGGAGAGCGGATAGGGAGGACAGTGGTAGGTGGAGAGGACAGCAAGAGGGGCAGGGGCCACAGCAGGGGGAAGTGTATCTGAGTGTTCTCTGCCTTCTCCCTTTCCGGGGTATTCAAACCCAACCCATGCTTCAAGGTCCACCTCTTCCGGGAAGCCTCCACCACTCTGAACCCCTGGGTTGAGTCTTAGAGTCTGTGCCACTCCTGTAAGTGGCTGCACGCATATGGCACGTCCTTCCAGCAAGATTCAAAGCTCCTCGAGGACAAGGACCTGGTGTTAACTCTTGTACCTCCCAGAGTGCTAAGCACACAACGAATCTTCAACCCAGACCTGTTGCTCTGAGCAGGTCCCGTACCACGAGAGGAGCCACGTTGAAATGTAGACTCAGCCTGCTTACACCACTTTTAGCCAGGTGATCTTAGGCAAGTTACTTAACCTCTGTGAGCTTCTGTTTCCTTTTATCAAAGTGTAATAGTAACAATACCTTCTGCAAAGGGTTGCTGCAAAGATTAAGTCTTCTGTAAACCGCAGCCATTGTTACCACTATTATTATTATCAGCATCATCAATCACCTTATCTGTTCCACACTGATGACAGGGCCCTCAGCTAGAAGCCTAATCCTTTAGTGTCTATCACTGGTACAACTAGAGTCACAGTGGGGTTTTTTAAGACCACGCCCCAAATCATCAAGGAATATGCTACCAGCAAGCAGCTTGTCCTGTCTGCGCAGAGGCGAGTCCGGGCCTTGCCTTTGTCACAAATACAGCCCTCTTGAGTTGCTTTGCCTTTCTCGGCGTTGCCTAATATTAGGGAGGACTCTCGTACAGGTCAGTGGTCAGAAAGTCAGGACATGTGGGCCAGGCTGCCCCTGGGGACCCTTGGGTAATCCCCTGCACTCTCCAGGCCTCCAGCGGCCTCTGAACAAGAAGGAGGCTGTTCTAGGCGATTCCTGCGGGTGCTTCCAGCCCTGGCGCTCTGGGAGTCTGTTTAGGCAGCAGCCCCAGAACAGAGGAGACAGGCGGGGTTGGGGTGTCTGGTCAGCACACGGCAAAAACAGGAGGAAAGAAATGAGAGACAGAGACAGCTTTGGCTGGGGAGAAGGGGGAGGTGGGGGAAGGAGGAGACAGAGGAGGAGGAGGGACTGAGGGGTGGAGGGGGAGATAGACCCAGCCCAGAGCTCTGAGTGGTTTCCTGTTGCCCAGCTCGAAACCCCTCCACATTCCTGCAGACCTTCAGACTGTTCGGACAGCCACCCTGCCTGCTGCCTGCCTGCCACTGAGGTACGCGCGACCCCTGCCCAGCCTTTGCCTTCTGTAGTTGCATCTGCCCCGGCACCCTAGTTCACGGGTCCAGCTTGTGTGCCAGGGAGGGAAAGCTGCAGTGGGTGTGCATCTCTGCTGTGCAGTCACGGCTGCCCTTAAGGGCACGGTCCCTGGGTCCCTGCCTGTTGCTTTTCAGAACATAGACTACTGTGTAGCTTGGTCCCCCTTTTAGGTTTGCAGAAAATAACTTCATGGTGTCTTTGGGGGAGCGTTTTCTCTTTCTCTGTCTGTGTCTCTGGTTTCAGAGGCTGCCTGCCTGTCCTCTTTGCTCCCTTTGCGAATGTGGCAGCCTCCTCCTTTCCTGGGAATCTGATCCTGTCACAGCTGCCATAGGGACCGGCCAGCAGCCGGAGTCTGCCCTGCCTCCTATTCCAGGAGAAGAAACCTCCTAGACTTGGTTCTCGGTCAGGGGCTCTGTTTTCCAAAAGGGACTTCGCATGGATGATAAATTAATCTCTGAAAGGCAAAGGGGGAGGCTTCACCACTAATCTGCACCTCCAGGAAGGCTCCTGCTTCCCTCTAATTCCCCCACTCCCAGAACCCCCCAACACACACACACACACACACACACACAGACCCTGGCGCCATTTGGCCTGAAATGGCACCATCACCCTGAGTCTTGAGGTAGGCTTTGTTCCTGTCCTGGGCTCCCTGGGATGGAAGACACAGGAATTCCGCAGGAGTAGCCTTTCGTTTATCTAGGTCTGAAGAACCCAGACATCAGATATTACCCAATCGAGATGCGGGGTGCAATGCGGGGCAGGGTGTGGTGGGGAATGTCCTCAAAACCGGGGAGCAGGGAGGTAAGACAGAGAGGGTTCAGGGCCCCCTTCCGTACCTCACTGCTTTGATGGTGTGCAGCCCGTCAGGGTGTCAGGTCCTCTTCAGACAGCCCCCTGCCTTCACCCTCCCTGGCTCCACCGACTGGCTGAAAACATTAGGAAATGTTTCCACTGGTGCTGCTCTAGGGTTCAATTTCCATGTGGCCCAATGCTGGTGGCAGAGGGAGAAGCAAGTCGTGCGCAGCACGGCAGGCTTCCGGCACACGTTTTCCATGTACCTTATGTGTCCCCGCCAGACTTAGCTTCCCTGTCTGCAAGGGAAGAGGGTTGGACTTGGGGGTCTTCAGGGTCCCTGGCATCCTCTGAAGATTTCCAAGGAAGGTCTCTTAACCAGAAACCATGGAGTGGTCTTTGAACGGGCTTCGAGTTACCTGCAAGCCCCTTAAAACTGTATGCACTGTGTCGGGGGCTGCACCGGGAGAGAGAAGTGGGGCTCACAGCTTTCAGCCTCAAGATATCCTCAAGTGGATGCCGAGGGGGGATGTGGGAGATGGAAGCGGGCACCGGAAACAAACGCGCATTTGCAGGGGATGGGACTTCTGAAATGGGAGTGGTTGGGGAAAGAGAGAGTTAACTTTTGCAGCCATCCGCTGCCACATCGACAAAGCTTGGAGCTAAGAGGGGGAGGGAGGGTTTGCCTGGAGAAGGAATCAACTTTTGAAACTTTCTCCAAGTCCCACCCACCAGAAGGCTCTTCTCTGTCGTGACTCACCCTCCGAGGAATGCAAGTTGCCACGGTAACCTTTTTTTCAGGGTCTCCGCCTGCTGGCTGGGAGGGGACACTGGGAACCCTCACAGGACGTCAGGCTCAGTCTGAATGTTTCCCACCTCACCCCACCCCCAAACAGAAGGGCAGCAGCAAACTCCAGGCCCTGCCCTCAGGGTCCCCCAGGATCCCAGGGAAGCCAGGGGCTGTGATGAGCTCCCTGCACAGGGTGTTTGGAGCCTTGGGTTTTAGTTCCAGCTATGTCCTGAGGGTGCCATTTGACCTTGAACTAATCACTTCTCCTTTCCAGGCCCTAGTCCCCTCCTTGGTTAAAGAGCAATAACAACCTCAAAGGGATAGTGTGTGAATAAAATGGGTTGATGCACAGGAAAGCCCTTTGCAAAGCATGGTGTTCCCTCCTAACATGAAAGGTTTTATGGCACCTAAAGATTCGGTGAAATCATTTCCAGCATTTTTCCTGGCAGCTCCATCATCTTAGGGTATGTATAGAGCTTCCCTTTACTAAAAGTGCTGACAGGCACATCTTTAAAAATTATTTAAATTCATTTTGATTTGGGGGCCTTCTTGTGTATTTCTCAAGGATGTTGTGCCTTCCATGTGGAAAGAGCACTGGCCAAGGGTGCAAGCAGAAGTGGGTTCTAACACACAGTGTGTGGCATCAGGAAAGGCACTTCTCTCTGGGCCTCAGTTTTCCAATCTGTTAGATGGAAGATCTAAGTTAGATGGTCCCTGGCCAGGCATTCTTCTATCTCTGAATCCCATTAACTTTAATCTGTGATGGTGCTTTTATTCAAAGGAATAGCTGGCCTACATTTTTAACACTCACTCACCCCAGTTGAAAAGAAAATGAGAGGAGGGGCTGGGGGAGATCTTGGGTTGCCTAATGGTCATGCTAAAATCTTTATCCATTTCTAGAGATTGTCAACCAATAGCTTGAATAGGGTTTGCTATTCACAAGAGCAGTTCTCCTTGATGAAAATAAGCTACTACTAAGAAAGGATAATGAAGGAGAAAGCTGAGGATGTGAGATAAACAGTAGAATTTTTTGCTTTTGAGGTTATTTAGGTAGGTAGATAAGTATGCAGAGATAAACAGGGACAGATACAAACTCACAGGGGTGCGAAGTATAAACGTTGATTTCATCAACAGGCTCCCCACTAGCACAGCTAAAAATGAGAGCCTTCATTCCACGGGCAGACACCTACAGTCATTCGCTCCCATGCCTCTCCCTGGATGACGCTTTGGTTCACAGACACGGCCACGTTCCAGGAACACATTGTGATGAACGTGCACACTCTGACCCTCACCCATTACAGGCTGAAACAGACGGACGCTGAGTCGGGCTGTATTGCAACTTACACAGACATGCCATGAGGCGTGCAACCACACATGCCGCACACGGATGTACACAGTCAAACATGATACAGATCACGACAAGGAGACAGACATGTAACCCACATAATACCACCCGAGCACCTCTATGTCTTAGAGAGAGGGAAACTGAGGCTCAGGAGAAGAAAATAACTCACTTGGGGTCATGGCAAGCTGGTGTCTGAGCCAAACTTCCAGATGTTTGGAACCATTTAGATGTTCACCTTGCCTCACCTCCTCCATCCCCCGATTTGGTCACTTTGGAATCACGCTCAGGCACTTTCTATAGGCAATAAGCCCTGTGGGTAACAGCGATGAGCAGCACTTTCTCCCTCCCTTTCGCTGGTCTGCACTGGCCCATGCCAGCCCACGTGGCTTTGTCATCAGGCCCAAAGGCCCAGCATGATTGCAGCTAATAGGCCTCTGTTCATTTGCTTCCTGCTGGCTTCCTCCCCAACCTCAGGCTTAGAAGGAGAGAAGAGGAGGCTGGCCCTGAACTTTCAACCGACCCTGGGGGTGAATGAAGCTATCCTTTTCCTATAACACAGAACCTAGATGCTTCTCTTCCTCCCTCCAAACCCCAATCCTGAACCCAGGCACAGCTGGGCTGTGCAAGGCCAGGGCCAGCAAGTAGTGACTTGACAGAATTATTTAGAAAAACAGTCTCCTCCTCAGCCAGGAGGTATCTTAGACAGGAAACCAACTTTGCTCTCACCCACCACGCTACAGAGCTTGATGTCTGCAGCGAAAATATGAACAGAGACACCAACTCTCTTCAAAGCTGGGTTCTTTCAGAAAGTGGGTATAACCCCTCTCATTTGGGGATCCCTCTGGGTCTTCTTGTATTAGTCATGGCATTTGGATTTCAGACTGAAAGATCAAATGAAAAAAACAAAAACAAAACGAGGTATACATCTGGATGTTTCTGAGCATCTGGAAGTTTGGCTCAGACACCAGCTTGCCGTCTGACCTTGAGTGAGTTATTTTCCCTCTTTAAGCTTCAGTTTCTCCACTTTTAAAATAAGTGGCATGACAAAGAGGTTTCCCATGGTCTGACAACACCAATCCATTGGTAGCGGCTGCCAGAGAACTGTGTTCAGGATTCTGGTGCCATGCCACACTTTGGGGGAAAAGGTCATATGATTGATTAGTCGTGTCTGCCACGTGCACAGGATGGGCAGGTGGGGGCCATGTGTGCCACGTATTTCCTAGCTTTGGGATCTCTTAGGGCTTTCCAGCTGTGACAGCCTGGACACTTTGATGCTATTTCTCATCCCCGCCATTTGTGGTCACCTTGGATGCAGCAGTGGTCCCCTACAAGGAGCCAAGGAGGAAGCCTGAATCTCCACCCTGAGCCTCCGCCAGCCACATTGAGACGTGGCATCTTAGATGCCATTGTGGGTTCTCAGTCAGGCTCATTCCAGCCCCAAACTCTGGAGTCATCTCTTGGTTGCCCTAGAAACTCTCTAATCCTAGGGTTTTACAACCACAACACCTTAAAATTTTTTTTAGCTTCTTCCTTTCCAGCATTAGAATAATAGAAGTGGAAACGGGGAGTCAACGGGCAAGTCGAGAGAGGTGGTACTCCCAAAAGGCTTTTGCCTGAGTTTGACACAGAAAGTCAGAGCCAAAAGGAACTGTAGGGACCGACCTTGCCTGAGGGTTTCCAAGTGTTGCTAGGAGAACCTCGAGATGCTCCAAGGTGTCTCAGGGGATGTCCATGTGCATAGGACTCCCAGACCCCATCTCTATTCCATTTTTACATGCTTTTCTTTTTTAATTTCAAGTTTATTTATTGAATAGATAATAATCATTCACACATTTCAACACATGATAAAGGGTTGCCGCTGTTTGAAATATTGGACTCCTGCAGAAGACTTCATTGAAAGAAAAGATTCTCTGGCTTAGGTAGCTGTGATCACTGATCTAAAACAACCTCCTCGTTATACAGACAACCTGGAGGTCGGTCAGGCCTGGAGAGCAGAGACTTCCCTGAGTTTCCACAGTGAGCTGTGAGCCATCGACTTGCTCTTGGGTCTCCTGACTTCCACGTCACATCACTTCTGAGAGACTGCGTGTGCTCCCCGGGGTGTGAGCAGGATTTGCTGGTGTAGCCACGTGCGGCTGCCCCTCTGGGCCTGCTCGCCCCCACCGCAGCGGAGCCCACCCTCCCTCCTTCTGAGTCCTGGCTCTCCGGAGGGCCTGGCTCCAGGCTTGCTTTATTGCCTCTCCATTTGTTTTCCTCTTCTTGGGCTTTTTTACCAGTAATGTGTGTTTCTGGAGTCCTTGTTTCGGAGCCAGACAGTGGGAGTGAGCTGCTTGGCTTGCGTCCGCAGCCCAACGAAGGGGCCAGCCCAGGGCCCGGGCCTGGTCACCATGTCCTCTGGAGGCTGCGTGCTGGTGTCCCCCAGACAAACAGAGGCGATATCTCCTTTGTTCCGCCCCCATGCCTCTTTCTTTCTCCCTGGGCAGAGAGACAAAGTGCTGGGATTCTTGCACTCAATTCTCTAGGGTGATGGAAATTCTGGGATCTTTGAATTTTAAGATGTTTTTCCGTCTTTGTTTACCCCTTTGCTTGTATTCGCTTGTGGAAATCACCCATGAGCCTTTCCAGGTAGGTATGTTATTTTTGTTTTACAGATTGGGGAGCAAATGGAGGCTCAGAGAGGTAAAGTCTGTTTCTAAATGTCACACAGTTGCTCAGCAGCAGAGCCAGGGTTTGGACATTTGGGCTCCAGAGCCCATGAGCTTACCCTCATGCTATCCTGCCTCTATAAAAGCTTGTAACCACTCTATTACCATAGACACTAGCCACATGTGGCTGTTTAGATGTAAATTAATAAAAATTCAGTTCTTCGTTTGCACTGGCAACATTTCAAGTGTCCCATAGCCACATGTGGCCAGTAGCTATCACACTGGACAATGCAGGCATAGAATATTTTCATCTTCTCGGAAAGTTCTATTGGATTGCATTGCTTCATCACTGCTTCCCCCTCAAATCAGATTTAATGATTGCCACTCAGTTTCTCTGCTTCACATTCTGAGAGTCTATGATTATGAGAACCACAGTCTAAAATTCTACCATTCTGACATTTCTCCCAGTTCTGACATTTAGCAACTTTTCAACATCCAGGGAGAACCCGAAGGAGGCCATTTATGTCTTAAGGGAGACAACCCGGGGGGCTGGCTGTACTTTTCCATCCCCAGAGTCTTTCCAAAGAGAGAGAAGTGACCTCAGCTTCGGGTCCTGCTGGCAGCCAGGGACGGGTTTTCAGCCGTCTCCAGAGCAAATAAAGGCAAAAGGAAGGGACTCGATGTACGGAACAGGAGGCGGTGGGTGGGGGTGAGGGGTGTCTGCATTTGATGGCCACCGAGCCAAGGGAAATACACCTCCTGTTCCTCCCCTGGCCCAGCGCTTTTTCCTTCCCAGGACCTCAGGCCAGTTCTCAGCCCAACTGGGCCTTCTTCAGGTGACCACCCGGGAGGGGTGGCTGCCAGGAGAAATAGCGTGCTGAGGTAGGGACGTGCCAGTGGTGGGTGAGGCTGCTCGGGTCCTCACCCCAGCCCTGCTCAGTCACTGGGGCTCTCAGTTCTTGGTTATGGGCAGATTTCTTCCTCTCTCTGGGCCTCAGTCTTCCCATCTGTGCTATGGGCATGGAGCCCCTGCTGGGATGCTGGATTATGAAAACTCGCTGAAAAGGATACATATATGCATCATCACAGACTAAAGAAATACAAAGGAGAAATTTTCATCTAATACTGGTCATTTATATGAAGAACGTTTATATTTCCATGGGCATGCTACATCTTGGTTCGGTTGGCGAAGGATCACAGCTGATAAGTTCTGAATGCTGGGGTTTGATCCTGTGCTCTGACCTTGCTTCAGTGACTGCTGCACCCCCTTGGTTTTGCAGGGTGGACGCTGGCCGCCTTGGCCAATGGTGTTTTAGAGAACTTCAGAGGGTGAGGTCTCATGGCTGTGCAGAGAGTAGGCTGTGTGTCTAGTGTCTAGAATAACCCAGCTGCTTCCCTTCCCTCCCGTCCCACCACCGAGAGGAAACGGGTTCTGGGACTGGTGATGTAGCACAGGACACTGGGTAGGACCCAACATTTGGAAGAGAACCCCTCCTCCAAGATTTTGTGTGCTGTTCTTAACAGGCTCCGTCTGCATTGCCCACCCACCCCCTGCTCTGAGCATAACCCCTGTTCGGCTCACTCCAACTCCATGAGAAGGGAGCCTTGCCAATTTGGAATGAGCCTCAACACTGCGTGACTTTGGGCAAGAGTTTCCCCCCTTTCAACTCCACACTCATCAGGAAAGTGGGATCAAGAGCCCTTCCATGGCTGTCTGCCCACCCAGGGCTGTCAGGAGGCTGGGAGCACTGTGGCAACTATAACGCATGACGGGACCTGAGTTATTTTCCCCTTCTGGCTGCAAGAGCAGGATGGGGGTGGCAGAGCGTGTGTGTGTGTGTGTGCACAGCTGGGAAAGAAGTGAGGGAGATGGTGAGGCAGGACGGATGGAAGAGCCACGCACAAAACCTTTCCCTGTTCACAGAGGGGACCTGGTGCCTCTGCTCAGGTGCAGACACAGTACTTGGCAACGTCCATCTCCCTGGCTCTCTAACATGAAGCGTTACATTTGCAGTCCTAGCTGGGCCATTTCTCCCATGACATGACTGCTCTGTCAGTGTTGCCAACACAGTGCAACTGCTTTTTCGTGCCAGCTGCCAGTCTCACTTTGAGTCTTCTACTTTAAACAACCTCGGACAAGTCCTTCATGGATGCTTTCTCTCACGTTCCATTTGTCCAAAGCCACATGCGGGAGTTGTTTTTCTTGTGTCTTCCAAATGGGGAAGCCAGAAGGGAGAGATTTTCCTCATAAGCCTGGGGGAACAGACAAACAACTGTGTGAGGAACATTCCACAAACTTCTTGGAAAGGGAAGCCTGGACTCCGCTGGGAGTTGGTGTCATTCTGCAGCAACACCAAGCCTCCGGGGCTGTTCCTTTAAAGTCCTGATACTTTTATTTCATGCACACTTCATGCAACAGGGGGTGAGGTCTTTTGTCTCTTTTAGCTCAAGAAAGGACCACTATGAAGTCCGTCCTTCCTTTGCGTGTTCCTGCCACCCAAATACTATCAATATCATCCAAGTGAAGATGGGTGCCTCTGGCAGAGGTGACATGTGCCAAGACCAGCATGTGCCTGGGATATTTTAAGAGCATTTTAAAGACCCAGCCTACCATCTCTAAGTTCACCTAGTCTACTACTTTCAGTTGACAGATGGAGGAACCAAGGTCTAGAGAGAACTTAAGCAATACATCAAGACAGTATTGAGGTAGAACAAGAATCCCTGGCATTTAATTTCAAGCTGAGTGTTTTTCTCCGCAATGCCAGGGTACCTCCCACCACTGTGCTTAGTCAGTTGAGAAGTCTTGGAAGGAATTAGGGCTGATGAGCCTGACAGGGAAGTTTTGGAGGACGAAAGAGGGAAGGCGTGGCCACTGTTGCCCTTGACCGAAAGGCTGTTTGGGGGTAGAGGGAGCACGTTTGTTCTGTGCAGCTGCACAAGGGACAGGGTAGATAGACCAGGAGGGCTGAGGAAAGGAGGCAGATTGAGATCAGTAAAAGGAAGAACTTTCTAAAGCAATTTGGGAACGGAAATCCATTTAGTTAGCACAAGAAATAAAATGTCCCCACCGCAGATTCTGTTAGGGATGGCATTTTGGTGTTGGATCGTCAGGGGAGATTATGCTCCAAGATCCCTTACAGTCCTGAGCACATTAGAGTCCAGAGCTCTGCATCTAGAGAGTGAGTTCTTAGCAGTGACCAGGGCAGGGGAATTTTCTAGATCTCAGCTAACATCCCCTTTGCACCTGGTGGAAGCATTTGGATAGTTTCTCTAGGGGATCTAGAGAAGTGCTGTCGCTTCTGGGTAGAATGGAGAAAGACGTGGCCACACTCCAAGGTCACACTCCAAGACTATTGTTTGTTCTTTGTTTTACAATGTGGGTCTCATTGTCTAAAATTGGCAAGAGGTTGCTGCCTGTTACCTTCTCCCATTGCAGAGGAAGTAGAGAGGAGGAGGAGGAGGAGGAGGGTTTTGAGTGTAGGAAAAGAATTAATCTTAGAGCATCAAGGATTGAAGAGCCCTTGAAGATGATCTGGCTTGGTATTGCCCAAACTTGACTAATTAGCCCAATATGTTAGCTGAATCACTTTTTAAAAAATATAAATATAAACACTTAAATAAATGTATTGAGAAAGGAGGCTTTATATCATTCCCATAAATGGAAAACTCTGTGTATCTTTGTCATAAATAGAAGGAAACTGCAAAAACAAACACACATGAGAAAAACAACTTTATCCAATTCCAGCTGGATACAATTTCCTGTGGGAGCTCCAAGCCAGAAGGCTGCTCTCTCCTTGTTAAAAAGGGGAATGGATAAGTGTGAGAGAGGTGTCGAAGACATCTTAGCACCAAACTGAAACCTTCTTCTCATATGATCAGGATGGAAAGAACATTGGGTAGAACCGATTTCCTCTCTTGTCTTTTTTTTTTTTGAGACACAGTCTCACTCTGTTGCCCGGGCTAGAGTGCCATGGTATCAGCCTAGCTCACAGCAACCTCAGAGTCCTGGGCTCAAGTGATCCTCCTGCCTCAGCCTCCCGAGTAGCTGAGACTACAGGCATGCGCCACCATGCCTGGCTAATTTTTTCTATATATTTTCAGTTGGTCAATTAATTTCTTTCTATTTTTAGCAGAGACAATCTCGTCTTGCTCAGGCTGGTTTTGAACTCCTGACCTTGAGCGATCCTCCCACCTTGGCCTCCCAGAGTGCGAGGATTACAGGTGTGAGCCACCATGCCCTGTCCTCCTCTCATATCATTTAACCAATGTCTAATGTTACCTCACATATCCCAGGAGCTCATAAGTCGCTGTCCATCAGGAAGCCTCCCTCGCTGAAATGTCCCTCTCTTCTCTCCTAGGGTTCCTGCACCATGAGGACCTGGGTCTTCTTTCTCCTTTGCCTGGCCGGGAGGGCCTTGGCAGCCCCTGTGAGTACCTAAAGATCCCATCTCCTTGCTCTTCCTTCTTGACACCAGCCCCAGGGGTTCCAAACCTGCCAGTCCTGATGCTCAGAGGGGACAGGGACTTCCCCATCTCCAGTCAGTTGTCTTATTTTTTAAAAAAGATTTTTTTCTTAAGCTAATAGGCTCAGAAGAAAAACTGGGATGAAGACCACTGGGTGGAGGTTGCAAAGAGTTCCGTGTACTATAAAGATAAACTTTTAGCAGCCAGAGCTTCCCAGCAGTGGACTAGGATTGCTTTAGGAGGAAGTGACTTCTCTTGGTCACATGAGGAATTCAAGCTGGGCGTCGGGGCGGGGAGGGTGCTAGAAGACAGTCAAGCCGCAGGGAGAGGGATGCTCACTTTCTGAAACAGGGAGGGCTGTTTGGTTGCAAACAGCAGACTTCAATGTGACTACATAGGGCGGAAAAAGATACAGGGATAGGTTATAAAATCAAAGGCCTTAGGGAGGACTGGAGACGGGCAGCTCCAGGATTTAGGAGGAAAGAATTAATGGGCAGCGTCAGATATCGCCATCTGAATGAATCAGCCCCAGTTTCACTCCTTGAGAGAATGTGCCAAAAAGATTTTTAAAAATTCAGTGAGAGCCAGTCCAGCTGAGCTTGGGTCCTGGGCCTGCCTCTTGGCTAGGGGGGAGTGGGGCACCTTGATTGCCAGTCCCTCTAAGAACAGCGTGCAAAGGGCCGGGAGGAGCCATCCATAGCTCATCTGGAAGCCACCACCAGGATAGGAGGAAGAAATGCGAGGCAGGCAAAAAGAGGAGTTGCTTTCAACTTCCGACTCCTTCAACCTCCCTTCCCTGGAAGGGGCGAGTGATGGTAGGCCCTGGCGATCTCAGTCAGGTTGGGAGATTTGGGAAAAAGATTCGGCAAGGTTGGCATTAATTTTAGAAGTCACCCCAGGCAGCCCGGAGCCTCAGAGTTATATGTTATCTCACCTCTTTCTACTCCAAGTTGAAATGGCAGGAAAGAATTGCCTAACAATAACAATAAGATTACACTGTGGAGAAGATAATAACCACTGTTAAAATTCATGGCGTCATCCCCTCTGGGCATCAGTTTTCCCATCTGCAAAATGGGGGGTTTGGTCTGGATCAGTGATTTTTCAGACTTTGTAGGAATTCAAAGCAGCAGAAATATTTTCACAGGCTAAATCTTACACAGAACCTTGGATAAAAGATATGTAAAAGGGGGGCTGCTCCAGTGTTCCACAGGTGTCACATGTCTGGCTTCTCCTTTGCTCTGTCCCCCCCTCCATGGCAGTTCCTGGGGTGCAGCCTTGGGGATCTCCAATAAGCTGCTCTCCAAGCTCCCCCAGCCCATGCTCCAGGCCAGAGGAACTTCGGAGGTGAAGCTGGCATTGGCCTTGACCTCCCCAACCCCACTTTCTTTTGCAGCAGCAGCAGGAAGCCCTGCCTGATGAGACAGAGGTGGTGGAGGAAACCATGGCCGAGGTGGCTGAGGTAGGTGGGGGGTGACCCCGGCCCTCCAGCCTCTCTCCACCCACATGCATTCCCTGGGGACTCCAGACAGGTGCCGTGGGCTTGATGCTGGCATAGGGCATTTGTCACCATGTGTACCCACAGCACAGATGCAAATCCTGAGAATCCCCCAAACTCTGACACACTCCTGAATGCTTTCCAAACCTTTGATGGAACCCTACAACTGGGGGCCAGAATTGTTTTTTAAACTGTGGGACAATTTTTTCTTCTACAATTACCCGCAGTCTCCCTGTAAGTAAAACAGATGACAGGAGACACTCAGGCAGGGCTGGCAGGGGTGGAGGGTGTGGCACCTCCTCTTGCCCTGACACCCTGGTGCCTCTGAGGCATCTCGAGAGAATTCCAGGGCTCTACAAACCACGGTGGGTCTATAAGATTGAACCTAAATTCCCAACCTCGGCATCTGTGCTCTGTGGCCTGGGCCCAGCCCGCCTTTCCAGCTGGTCTCTCCCCGTCCCCTGTGGGGACTGAAGCTTCAGGCAAGTCCCCCTCAAATTGTCACCCTTTGCCTCTGGGTCTGGGATGGGGGTGGGGACCACTCGACTCATTCTTCTGCCTCCCTCCCAGGAGCCTGTGGGAGCCAACCCCGTCCAGGTGGAAGTAGGGGAGTTTGATGAAGGTGCTGAGGAAACTGAAGAGGAGGTGGTGACTGAAAGTAGGTCCCTTCTCCGTATCTCGGCACATCCGGGCTGCCCTTGGCGGCCGGGGCCCAGGGCCCGGGGGCTGCCCACGCGAGTTGCTTCCCAGGAGATGCAGGGCGGGGCCCTCGGTGGGCTGTGGAGGAAAAACGGCTTTGACTTAAAGGTTGGGAAACTTTCTGGCACTTAGTCCCCTGGGATCTGGGCAAGGCTGATTTATAGCCAGGCCATCCAGGCTGTCAGCTGCAGGAAGCAGGGTTCCCGGAAATGGCCTTCTGTCTCGGGGCTCTTTGCCCTGATTCTAAAGTTGGATCTCACATTTCTACTGAGGTCACTGGTCACATATGGTCACTGAGGTCCCCCAGGGCCTCTGGCTCAGCCAAGCCCCACATAGGAGCAGATCTGAGAGCAGAGATCAGGGGCTCGTGCACTCACTAGGTCATGTGAATTTCACACGGCCCAGGGACACGGCCCCTGAGTGACTGTACAGTGCTACCTGTGGCCAGTGCCAGAGCGGGAGAAATGACCTAGGGCCTCTGGCTGGAGCCTCCTTGCTGGGGCATCTGTGTCCGGGGGGTTGAGAGCATGGACTTTGGAAGCAAACCAGCCGAGGTTTGAACCTGGGCTTCTCCACAACAGCTTGCGTCATTCCTCTGAGCCTCAGCTTCCTTGTCTGTAGCATGGGTTGATGAAGATGGTAGGCTTGTCCCAAGGATGTCCGGGGCTTTATGAGACAAAGCATGACGGCGCTTGGCAGAGGAGGCATCCGAAACAGGATGACTGAAATACTCAAAATAAAGCCACACAAGGGAAAGCCTCCCTTGCGCTGGCATCCTGAGGGGATAGCTAACGCGTCTTCAGCTGTAGCTGGGCACGGAGTTTTTGTTGGAGCAGAGGGGCCTCTACTGAGTCATGTTCCTTCCCTCCTCCACGCCCACCTCATCCGGTGTTTACAGACACCGCCAGACTCTATTGTCCGGCGTGGTCTCGGGCTTTCTACCCTTTCCTTTACAGTTGCTTAAGTCTGTTTTGTTGGGCCTCACAGCTTCCTGGCTCCAAGACAACAGCCATCCTAGAAAGTCTATTCTAGAATCCAGAAATGCCTCCTTGTGACGATTTAGCCAGGGCTGGAACACAATGGGGGCTTCAATCCTCAGGGAAGCCATATGGCATCCGGTGTTTCTGGGTCCCAGACAGAGCCTTCAGCTCCCCCAAAAGTGCCTGACCTTGACCTCGACCTTGGATTGAGCCTCTAATCCCCGGACTAACTGAGCCAACGGTTCCCCTAAATGAGGATTACTAAGCTCAGTGCGGGAGCAGGGAGGACTCAGGGCTGCCTGAGCCCAGAGTGGGGCCCGCAGCCAAGGACTGCCAGCCCAGAGATCTGTCTGGACAGGCCTGGGTGGGTGTGGTTGCCTGGGTGGTGCTAACCCAAGCCCTTGCCCCCACCAGACCCCTGCCAGAACCACCACTGCAAACACGGCAAGGTGTGCGAACTGGATGAGAACAACACCCCCATGTGCGTGTGCCAGGACCCCACCAGCTGCCCTGCCCCCGTCGGCGAGTTCGAGAAGGTGAGGGCTGAGGGGCAGGGGCAGGGGGCTGGGCCCTTTGGGACAGAGTGTCAGCCCAGAAAGCTGTTGGACTGGGCTTGGGCTTCTACGGGGCTCCGGTCTCAGAAGTCCCCTTGCTAGATCTAGTCACGGCAGGAAAGTGGAGATGAGTCAGAGGTGAGGCTTTGACTGACGCTGGATCTGTCCAGAAACCAACAAGAATTCACTCAGCGCCGTCGGGTTCCCAGCCCGATGCCGAGAGAATGCAGCTGAGAAGGGAGTAGGGGCTTCCTCTCCTTGGGAGCAGCTGAGCAAAGCATCAGGTCCGAATGTGCGGGTTCTAGGGCAGACTGAAGGCTGACTTCAAACCTTATCTCCATCACTTGCTAGCTGTGAGATCTTGGTGAAGTTGCTGAACCTTTCCAAGTCTCAGTTTTCTCGCCTATAAAGAGGGGATAAAAATAGTCTTTAACTTGTAGGACTGTTGTGAGGATTTGTCAGTAGTGCTTGGTACATAGTAAGTACCCAATAAGTGCAACTTACTTTTTTTTTTTTTTTTTTTGAGACAGAGTCTCACTGTGTTTCCCAGGCTAGAGTGCTGTGGCCTCAGCCTAGCTCACAGCAACCTCAGACTCCTGGACTCAAACGATCCTCCTGCCTCAGCCTCCCAAGTAGTTGGGACTACAGGCATGTGCCATCATGCCCAGCTAATTTTTTCTATATATTTTTAGTTGTCCAATTAATTTCTTTCTGTTTTTAGTAGAGATGGGGTCTTGCTCTTGCTCAGTCTGGTTTCGAACTCCTGACCTGGAGCAATCCACCCGCCTCGGCCTCCCAGAGTGCTAGGATTTCAGGTGTGAGCCACCGCGCCCGGCCTACTTTTAAAATTCTCTCTCAAACATGCCCATTCTATCGCCAATAGGACCCATCCATCCAACCAAGTAAATATTTTTTGAGTACTTACTCATGCCAACCATTGTGCTAGTGGCCGTCTAGCTCAGGGCAGCAAATCTGGGATCAGCATTATTCCCACAACCTCCCATCTGGCTCCTCTGTCTTCAGTCTCTCCCCAAGACACCATACCTTCAGGGCTCCAAACCTTATTTATTTTCTTCATGTCTTTATTTTGAGACAAGAGTCTTGCTCTGTCACCTGGGTTAGAGTGCTGTGGCATCAGCCTAGCTCACAGCAACCTCAAATTCCTGGCCTCAAGCGATCCTCCCACCTCAGTCTCCTGAGTAGCTGGGACTAGAGGTGCATGTAGCCACCATACACGGCTGATTTTTAAAATCTTTTTTTATAGAGATGGGGTCTCAGTGCATTGCCCAGGGTGGTCTTGAACTCCTGACCTCAAGCCATCCTCCCACCTCGGCCTCCCAAAGCACTGTGATTATAGGTGTGAACCAGTGCACCTGGCCTGGGCTCCAAATGTTAACATCATTATTAACCCCTCCTTCCTCCTCACTTCGACCTCCAGCCCCACATCCCACAGGTCACCAGTGCCACCCAGTCCTCCCTCTGCAGGTGTATGCAAGCAGTGCGAAGTCAGCACGTGCAGGGTGTCCAACACATCCTGCGCAACACGGGATGTTCCTCCTGGCACAGCTGTCTACTGCCACTGCCCTCGTCCAGCCCTCAGCATCTCTGCTTTGCCACCCCTATTTTCAGAGATTTACTGGGAGGACTCAGATGGCTCAGCATACAGCGGCGCTCATGGCTAAGGTTTATTAGCATGACATATTCAAGGATATACAGCGGACCATAGGAGAACAGACACAGGCAGAGTCTGGAGGGATCTACATGGAGACTTGCTTTTTCTGTCCCTCCCATGGGGTCACACAGAGCACGTTCTTAGCCCAGCTACAAAGATGCAGCCACGTGAGAGTGATGCTTCTGCCCAGAGAAGTTCATTAGAGACTCAGTACTCACAGTTCTTACTGGGGGCTGGTCACACAGGCACCCTCTGCCTAGCACGTACCAAAATTCCAGACTCCTGGAAGGAGAGCAGATGTTCAGCATAACCAGATTGTTTGTACAGGCAGTCTGGACACAGGGAGCCTCCCTTATCGGTTAGGGAAAGATTTACAGCTATGCAAGGAACAGTTTTCCAGCCAAGTTCCCAGACGCCAGCCAAGGGCCAATGTGACAAGCAGGCCCCTTCTAAGGATAGTGATCCCAGCCTGTAATATTAACTCTTCTTTGCACACTCTTGTCTTTTCCCCGTCCCCATCTGCAACTCATTCTTCAAATATCTTGCAGGTTCTTTTTCCCACATCTCAGCCCTGACTCAGTTGTGCCTCTGCTCAGAGACCATCAGTGGCTCTGAGCATGGGCTGGACGCTGGCCCGGGAGCCCAGAGAGTGGGTTCTCGTCCCAGCCCTACTATGAACGCACTGCATGACCTTGGCTGGTCACATTCCTTGCTTGGCCCTCAGTGGCCTCGTCTCTGAAAGGGGCAAGGGTGGTGGTACCAGTGAAGGGCTTCTGGAATGAAGGAGAGGGTGCTCTATGCTCTGCCAACAGGTATGCAGCAACGACAACAAGACCTTCGACTCTTCCTGCCACTTCTTTGCCACAAAGTGCACCCTGGAGGGCACCAAGAAGGGCCACAAGCTCCACCTTGACTACATTGGGCCTTGCAAATGTAAGTCTCTCCTTGGGCCCTGCCAGACTCCCATCGCAGGGAGAGCTCTGAGCTGGCACTGATGCTGGCCCTGCCAACCCGTGCCGTAGGATCTTGGGCATGTCTCTTCTCCTGTCCATTTATAAATCGAGGTGGTGGTCTATGAGTAGGTTCCTCTCAACGCTGAGTTCAGGACATCTCCCAGGGAAGGACTGAGCAATTATGGAAGTTCAAGGGAGGATTTCTGGTGCTTCTTACTGGCATCCAAGACAACCACACTTTATTCCTCTATGACAAAGAAGTTCTGTAAGGCTAACCCAGTTTTTCCTGCTTCAAAACTATAAACCAAAAATGATGGCTGACTTAGACCTACAGTGCATTTTTAAAATGTTTGAATTAGAATGCTTTGAAATAGGGGCATGCATGTCCATTTCCTGTTACTCAGCGCTGGCACATCTTTGGCCTTTTATTCAATTACATTCCCATCTGCCCTCTGAAGACAGATGATAATCACCCTTTTCTAGAAACCTGGGAGTCAGGTGTTTGGGGAGGGATGCCAGGGTGTTATCTGGCCTTCGTTGGTGACCCCGGCTGCAGATTCAGCTGGCCCAGGTGCCTCCTTCAGTATCCTCCCTGTCATTGAAAGCACCCAAGACCACGCCTGCTCCCCTCCAAGACAACAGCCACACTGAGTGTCTTGTACATTCTGGCGCAGACAGATCAAGATCAAGGCTGAGGAAGCAGCAGATGAGCCTTTGCACTCTCCCTTTTCAGACCGTTCTACCCCGTACACAGTAGCCTTTGCTCATCGTACTGTGAAGAAACTATGGCCCAGAGAGGTCAAGCCGCTGTGCCACGGCCACTGATGGAAGTGGTGTGGGCGGAGGGCCCAGGGAGCATGTTGGCCCTCGGCTGGGAGAGGCAGGCTCTGTGCTGACCACCCTTGTGTTTGGGACCCTAGACATCCCCCCCTGCCTGGACTCTGAGCTGACTGAATTCCCCCTGCGCATGCGGGACTGGCTCAAGAATGTCCTGGTCACCCTGTACGAAAGGGACGAGGACAACAACCTTCTGACCGAGAAGCAGAAGCTGCGAGTAAGTGGTCTCTCTCCGGCCTGTCCCAAAGCGTCTGCCCGGCCCCACTGGCCCCACGCTGGCCGATCCAGCCCCATTCCTAGAACGAGGTCCCCAGTTGTAAGCTGACATCCTACCTGGAGAGTGTGTTTACCCCTGGGCACAAAGACACATACTTCTCCTAGCTGCCTTTGGAGGCTTGTAGTGCATGATTAACACCTTAAAGGCTCTGAGAAGTCCTGCAGTAAGGAGACCTGCTCGCTTTCTTTAGCCCAGTGTTAAATGAGAGAGACACAAACAGCCCTGTTTATTTTTCTTTCTGAGTCTGTGGATCTTAAACTTTAATGGGCATATCAACCACCCCAACATGCTGGCAAAATGCAGATTCTACAGCCCCGGCTAGGCCTACTCAAACAACCTTTCTGTGAAGCAAGGCCCAGAAAGCTGCATTTGAACACACTGCCCAGGTGCTCTGGGTGTGGATAGCTCTATGACAACCCTTTGAGGTAATCCCAGGCCTCCGCTGTGAATGAGATGCTGGTATCTGTCATGCGAGCTTTGGCCCCTCCTGGTCTCTGCCTGCACTGGCCTCCTGTCAGAGGTGGGAGGGGCCCCAGCTGGCCAGGCAGTCTCCCCTGGACCCTCTGTCACACACTGTCCCCACTCCCGCAGGTGAAGAAGATCCACGAGAATGAGAAGCGCCTGGAGGCTGGGGACCACCCTGTGGAGCTGCTGGCCCGGGACTTCGAGAAGAACTACAACATGTACATCTTCCCCGTGCACTGGCAGTTCGGCCAGCTGGACCAGCACCCCATCGACGGGTGAGTCCTCAGACCCTGGCGCGGACAAGCCAGGCATCAGGGCTGGCAGGTGCACTAGCCATGGCCAGAAAGCCTCTGCGCAGCCCCTGCTGCTCCCCGCCCTGGGCCACAGTTGGCCTGGGGGTTGGGGCAGAAGGAACTGGCATCCCAAGAAAGGGCGCAGACCTGGGAGGAAGAAAGCAATGACACTGTCTCATGCCAGAGGCGGAAGTCACTGGGAACTAAATGTACCTCCTTGATCCTGCGCGTCCTGAGGCTTGGGTTCCCAATAGTGAGGGCGACTGAGTGAGGAAGGAGGATCAGCCTCCAAGGGGTGGCAGAGGCCACGGTGGGGGCAGCCGCATGCTCACTGTTCTTCATCATGATGCGCAGGAGCAGAGCAGCCATCTGGCAGTGACTAAGCCTCATCCTGAGGTCTAGTTCCAATAGGGCCTCACTGACCCTGGACGGTTCCTACAAAGTTCAGGCTCAGCCCATCCATCTTGCAGACCCCTTGTTTGCAGCCCTTGCCCCTGTGCAGCTGAGTTACGGGGTGCCGTGCAACTGCCCTGCAGACCAGGCAGGCGGCTGGCCAGTTATCAGATGCTTATCGAGTGTTCGTTATGTGCCTGGCACTATTCTAGGCAGGGGATTGAACAACAATCAGAGCTGACACGGTCCTTGTACCCACGGAGCTCACACTCTGTGTTCTTGCCCCTGTCACCACCTTCTGACCTTCTCTTATGGCGATGGTGAGGGGATAAGTAGCCCAGCTCAGCCCCAGCGGGAGCAAGCCACACCTGCACTTCCTGGAGCCTTTTTAACTTTTTCCTTCGATTGTGAGAAGCAGAGCAGGAAGGAATGGGCCGCCCTGCTCTCACGCTCAGGGGAGCTCCTCTCTGGGATGCTCACCCCTCAGTCTGTGTCTAGCCCGTGTGCCTGGAGCCTGTCCACCTTGGGCCATCCCGGGTGGCTGGGGTCTCCTGGGCTCTGGGAAGCTCCTGGCTGCTTCTCTCCCAGGCTCTTGCCATGGCTGGGATCCAACTGAGTCACTCACTGTGGCCAGGAGGGGAAAAGCCAGGGGGGACATCTGGAGCTCAGGCTGAGCGACTGGATCTCACTGCACCAAAGGAGCGAGGAGGTGGGGGTGGTTTCCAGATGGGGCCACCTGGGAAAGTGCTCCAGCCTGGCTGAGGGGACCCACTGCCCGCTGCTCTCTTCCCAGAGCTGTGGGTGGCCCTGCTGCACCCCTGGCCATCCCTGGCCCCAGTTTTCTCCCCAGTACAATAAACGGTGGGGGGAGAGTGTTCCTACCAGTTCAAACGTGGTGCGATTCCTTCTATGGGTTGGATGGGGCTGGGAGGTCCAGAGAAAGAAAATTGGAGTCACATTGTTCCCTGGAGACCCTGGGGTGGAGGGAGAAGTGTTTGGGGGACAACTTAGTTGGGGCCTCTGGGGAACAAAGAGAAAGAAAATCATATACTTGCTCTAGAGCAGGGGTCATCAAACTTTTTAAACAGGGGGCCAGTTCACAGTCCCTCAGACCGTTGGAGGGCCGGACTATAGTTTTTAAAAAAAAAAACTATGAACAAATTCCTATGCACACTGCACATATCTTATTTTGAAGTAAAAAAACAAATGGGCAAAAACACCCGCATGTGGCCCGAGGGCTGTAGTTTGAGGATGCCTGATCTAGAGTCAAGGCCAGCAGGGAAACAGGGATGGACAATGGGAGAGAAACCAGAAGAGCTTCCCTCTGGCATTGCCCGATGCACGATTGGAGCTTGACCAGGAAGACTAGAGACCCTCACTGCCAAGCCCGGCCCCTTCCCGCACCCATTCCCAGGGGAATGCACCATCACCAGACTGTCGCGTCTCTTTTTAGACCCTTTTCTAGGCATTTGCAGTTGTATAAATGTGTGTCCATAGAAAACCTAGTGTTGTTTCCTACTGGATTTTGACCTCCTGAAGCAGAGTCCTGAATATTTTGACTTTTAAATTTCTGTGACCACCCCCCAATTCTCAGCCAATTAAGGAACAATTAAATGCACCAAGAGACCTTTGTTATTGAGTCCCTAAGACCTCAGAACTGGAAGGACCCTTAGAAATTATGGCCGACTCCTCCTCCTCTTTGATGGAGGGAGAAACTGAGGCTGAGGGTGGGGCAGTGCTGTGCTCTGAGCCCCACAGCTGGTCAGCAGCAGAGCTGGGGGTAGGATCCTGGCTCCCTGTCCTGCTATAAACGTCCTTCCCTCCATGCTGTGGGGCAGGCTGACTCGCCCGCTGTCTCCCCAGGCTGGGGTCCGGGTCCTCCCCACGCCTCAGGTCCTCCCCTGCCTCTCGCCCCGCAGGTACCTGTCCCACACCGAGCTGGCCCCACTGCGTGCCCCCCTCATCCCCATGGAGCACTGCACCACCAGGTTTTTCGAGACCTGTGACCTGGACAATGACAAGTACATTGCCCTGGACGAGTGGGCCGGCTGCTTCGGCATCAAGGAGAGTGAGTACCTGAACGGAGGAGCTGGGGTGGTGGGCTGTCCCCTCCTCTGTGTGTCTGTCCTCTCTGCCCGTCTCTGCTCTCTCTGACTGTGCCTCCCGTCTGCTCTTCCGGTCCGGGTCGGCCTCACTCTCCGGCACCTTCCTGATCCTTCCCTGTCCATCTGACCGTCTCTCCCTCCTCCCCTTCCTCAAGCATTAGCGCTCACTCTTTGCCAGATGCTATTTTGGGAACTGGCAGGCATGTGCACAGGAAACAGGAAGTGTGACCTGGCCACGTGGGAGAGACAGGGACGGGCCAGAGACAAGGAGACCAAGGCTCCTCAGTCACCCACTTCCTGGGTGACCTTGGGCTGGTCACCTGGCCCCTGCCCCAGGGGCGTGGGCGGGAAGTGGATCTTCACCCACACAGGGCCTCATGTTTAACTCCCCTCTCTCTTCTTGATTTGCAGAGGATATCGACAAGGACCTTGTGATCTAAATCCACGCCTCCTCCCGCAGTACCGGGTCCTCTCTCTTTGACCCTCCCCTTCCTGTTTCCCCCAAAGTTTAAAATGTTTGGATGGTTTGTTGTTCTGCCTGGGGACACGGTGCTAACATAGATTTAAGTGAACACGTTAACGGTGCTAAACATGGAAATTCTAACCCAAGTCATGACATTCTTAGCTGTAACTTGACTATCAAGGTCTTTGGCTCGCTCATTAACGGTTCCATTTTTCTCTTGTCCTTTGTGGCCTGGCCCACTGTCTTGCAGGCACAGGGTGGGGACGGATCCGCTCTGGTCCGCCTTGAGCACACACTGCATCTTCAGATTTTCTCTCTATTACTCTGTTTGAGACTAATACTCGCCAAGCCAGACTTCGTGTTAATTTTATTTCAGGGGATTAGCTGCCTGGGGGTCTTCCCCAGGTGGCCCGGAGGTGGGCAAAGGGAAGTAACAGACACATGGTGTTGGCAGGGATGTTTCTGGGGCTAGAGGATCGGTGGGGGGAGAAATCCCTGCAGAACCCACCAGCCAGAACCTGGCTGGCCTGGGGCTGCAACGGAGAGAAAGATTCCCGGCCTGTGTTACGGAAATTTATCAATTCTCACATAAACCCAGTTCCTCACTGTTTCCTCCTTCACCTTTCAGTGCAGTTTCTTTTCACATTAGGCTGTTCATTCCCTCTGGGCCCCTGGGCACATCCTATGGGGCTTCTCCTCTCCTCATTTTTGGAGATTCAGGCTTCTTCTCAGGGGCTTCGGGGACTGGGAGGCTGTTTCAGCCAGGAAAGCCAAAATCAAGAGTGACATACAGAAAGTTGTATCAGAAAAAGTGGAGTTGGTGAATTGGTTGTTTTTCTCCCCCTACATTTGGATGCTTTTCATAAGGTTTCTAGCATCTTCCTCCTTTTCTCTTCCCCCCTTGCCCCGCTTTTTCCTTTTATTAATCAAGAAACTTCAAAGTCAATGGGATGGTCGGATCTCACAGGCTGAGAACTCATTCACCTCCAAGCATTTCATGAAAAAGCTGCTTCTTATTAATCATACAAACTCTCGCCACGGTGTGAAAGTTTGACAAATCTTTCAAAATAAAAAGTAATGACTTAGAAACTGCCTTCCTGGGTGATTTTGCATGTGTCTTAGTCTTCATCATCTTATTTTCCCGACACACAGACACCTGGCACACGTGTCTGTCTACACGAGACTGCACAATTGCAAACCTCCGCACACACACACTATGATGCTTTTGCACGCACACCTGTCCACACAGAGAGACATTTCTACATGGGGCTCGTATGGTTCCTGTAAGCAATAATTGAGTGGTTGCAATTTAATGACTTGTGGTCTGACCCTTTTTCATCATTCCACTCCATTATCAGCACCAGGCTAAGCAACCATCTATGGTCACCAGCAATACATTCATTCATTCATTCATCCATCAAATATTTATGATGTGTCTACTCTGTACTAGGTCCCATGCCAAGCCCCGGAGACATAGCTATGGCAAAGCAGACAAAGCGTTTGTTCTTTTGGTGCTTGCAGTGCAGTGAGGGATACTTTAAATAGTCACACAACAAATTATAAATTATAAGATGTCACAGGTGCCAAGAAAGGAGGGTATGAGACACCATGAGTGTAACAGGAGGACACAGCATTATTCTAGCATTACACTGTTCCAGATAGTAGCCACTAACCATGTGTAACTATTTTTTTTTTTTTAAGACAGAGTCTCACTCTGTTGTCCGGGATAGACTGCCGTGGGCTCAAGCGATCCTGCTGCCTCGGCCTCCCGAATAGCTGGGACTACAGGCATGCACCACCATGCCCGGCTAATTTTTTCTATATATTTTTAGTTGTCCAGCTAATTTCTTTCTATTTTTAGTAGAGACAGGGTCTTGCTCTTTTTCAGGCTGGTCTTGAACTCCTGAGCTCAAATGATCCACCCGCCTCAGCCTGCCAGAGTGCTACGATTATAGGCGTGAGCCATCACACCTGGCCCATGTGTGTAACTATTTAGATTTAAATTTAAATTAATTAGAATGCAGTTCCTCAATCATACTAGCAACATTTCAGGTGCTTGACAGCCATACAGGGTGAGTGGTTGCCCTATTGAACAGAAACAGATCTAGAACATTTTCATCACCACAGAGGGTTCTGTTGGACATTGCTGTTCTGGGTCATAAGCCCACAGAACACTTTTCAAAGCTCATGCATGCTCATCATGCTAGTGTGATATTTTGGGCTCACGTTCCAAGACTCCCCTTAGACATGGAGAAACAGGCCCAAGAAGCGTGTTCAACTGCGATGGGCCATATAGCTGGGTCTTCAGGTGTGGAGCCTAGAGGTTGTTTCCCCCACTCCCTGCTTATTTTAAGTTAAGATTAATAAAATAATACAAGCTTACAAAAAAACCCCAAACTGTATTCTGGTGTTCTCTTCTATACAATGGGAGGGAGAAGAGTAAGAGAGATTGACCAGTTTGGCAGTGGCTATTTGAGGAATGCAAACCCAGCATTCATCTCATAATCTCTAGGAATCTGCACAGAGATAAAGTAAATTTCAGTATTGGCTCATTCATTCATTTAGCACCATTTATCAGGTGCCTGCAATGTGTCAGGCACTATCCTATGTCCTCACAAGTAAGGTCCTTGCTCCCCCGGAGCTTCCTTTCATCCTAGCCGGGCAGAAAATACGTAAGTTAACAAACACTGTTTCAGACAGAAACGTGCGCTATACAGGAAATAAAGCACGGAGCTATCATGATTTGGACCGGGTGCTCCTTCAGGCAGGGTGGGAGATGTGACATTTGCCCTGTGGATGGAGTGATGCCGTCCTGTGCCTGGGTCAGCCCGGGGCAGATCACCTATGGAATGTGCAGCACCCACTATCTCAACAGCCCTGCCACCAACTCAGTGAGGTTCAGGCGGATTGGGTGACCCGGTCATGTGATGAGGCAGTGAAAAAGGGCAGGGAGACCGGAACCCAGAGCTTTCTCCCCCCTATCTGGGTACCTCCGTATAGGGAGCTCCTCAGAGGTTTCCAGGAAAAGCCAGCATTAAGGAGACATGAAGCATGAATCAGCCCAGGAGCCTGGGAGGACAGGGTATGGCCACACGCCCTGTGGCTCCAGCAAAACTGACGCGTCATCAGAGACCCTCAGAATCCAGAATTCTTACAGGCACTGCTTCCATTTCCTCCTCCTATCTGTCCTCCCCCCTTTTAAATCACTTAAAGAACAAACAGACAAAACCCCTTAACATTTAAAAGAAATTACATCATTGCCCTAGATGAAAAATTAGTATCATTTGCCACAAAGAGGATAAATCTTAAAGATAAATATAATAAAAATACAAATGCAATGAACAAAACATGCAGATATGAATGTCTCATGCTTGAAGAATGCTCTGTTTCTTGTTAAAGGAAGAATCTTAGAGACTTTTCTCCTCGACAATCCATCCAAAGGGGAACTGAATTACAAGTAATGCAGTGTTAATTAAGGTGTGAGTCTCCTATCATCAACTCCTGGGCCGAAGTGGTGGGCATCCCTCCCTTTGGGAAATTCCTCCTCATGTGAAGGTGTGGGTCCTCTGGAGATCATCCGGGCCCCTTAACTGACCATTTACTGGTCAATATATTACCATGAATCGAGGAGGAGTTGGCCAGGCCCTAGAGGACATGGAAGGTGCCCAGGTCAAAGGAGCAGAGAATGAAGCACCCCTCCCTCCCGAATCCTGCTGTAGAACTGGGTTGAGCCTCATTCAGTGCCGTGAGCCAGCTCTCTGAGCTTGTTTCCTCCTCTGTAGAACCCTGGTGATAATGGTTCCTGATGCATGGGCTGTTGTGTCTGGCAGAGCGAGCCAATTTAATCATGGTAATAATCATCATCATCACCACCATCAACCGCCACTCCTGCCTTAAATGGGAAGAGGCTGCTCTTTCCCCACTGCCTTCACTGGTCTTTTATTGGCTGGTCCTCTATCAAGTTGTACTGTCTTCAAGACCCCACTCCCTTTGAGAAGGGACTCGCGGGTGTCTCGTTTTGTTAGGCTGTGCTGGCTGGCTGGTGCCTGCATTAGTTTTGGCTACAGGACTGCAAGGGTTAAACGTGTCCAGCTGGAAACAGAAAAATAAGGGGACCCTAAGGAGGCAAGGGGGCCCTGGACAGGGAGTTAGGAATCTAGTTTCCAGGACAGATGTGCGAGCCTGCACAAGCGCCCGCCCGTCTGGGGTTCAGTTCCCTGACCTAAGTAACGGTAGAGGAGGGGGCTAGATGAGACGGTCCTATCTTCAGAGATGCCGAGGTCGCTCCCCTTTTCTCCTTCAGAACAGGCTGTCCCAGAGATGGGAAAACCTGGACCCTGCCAGGCCTTGCAACCTGTTTCCCAGAGGGCCCCCCAGAGCCAGCGGGACCCAGCGCCTCCTTCCTGAGCCACTGGCCCGCCCGGCCGTGGAGGAGGGTCGGGGCGCCCCCTGGCGGGCATGGGGAGAAAAGCTCCCTGAGCTGCGGATGAGACTCAGCATCGGAGCTGTAAGGACCCACGGAGGTCATGGAGCCAAGGCCCCCTCATTTTCCAGGCGGGGAAACTGAGCAGAGGAAAAAAAGAACTGAGACGTGGGTTAGGGCAGTGGTCCCCAACCTTTTTGCCACCAGGGACCGGTTTCATGGAAGACAATCCTTCCATAGCCGGAGGTGGGGCCCAGGGTGCTGGGGGTGGGGGCTGGCATGGGGGTGCTGAGCAGAGCTCACGTGGTGATGCGGCGATGGGGAGCAGCTGGCAGCTGTAAATACACATGAAGCTCTGCTCAGCTCACCTGCGGCTCACCTCCTGCTGTGCGCCCTCCCCCCCCCCACCTAAGTTTCCTGGAGGATAATTTTTCCACGAATGGGTGGAGGGGCGGGAGAGCTGAACTCTGCAGCCCAGTCCAAAATACACAAATAAGAACATATTTTTTTTTTACAGAAGCGCTTTCTCATTATTGTGCTAAAAATTAAAAAATATATAGCATGACAATAACAAATTAATATATTTTAAACAGCTTTTATAAATGAAATAAAATCTCTGCACTTCATGTTTGCTAATTTAGGGATATTTAGTTCTCCATCTGTTAAAGGAAGTCTCGACTCTCTTTAGTTACATATTTGCCAAAGGGATATGGCTATAAAGGCAGAGAGATGTAAGTGGGTTGAATAGGTGACCCCCACGTAAGTGGCACTGGTGACATGATTTTATGAGACGGTGAACAACTCTTGGTAGAATTCTGGGCAGAGCTAAGTTCAAGCGTCCCTTGATTTACAGGGTTGTTGCAATTTAATATATATCTTAAAGCAGTGCAAAACAAACAACAAAAAACCACCACCACCACCAACAAAAAAAAAAAAAAAAAAAAAAAAAAACCCAAGCAACTTTGTTGATGTTTGTAAAGGGAGTCTAGTTCATTTGAAAGCCATGCAGGAGGTGAGACAATCCTTTGCTGTGCAGGACTGTCTCAGTCGTTGCAGGACATCTCCAGCCCGCGCCCACTCACTGCCAGTAGTGCCCCCCAAACACCCTCATACACATCCAAAGGGATGCCCAAGGGGCAGTACAGCCGCCATTGAGAACGCTTTCTTGGAAGCTTGCGGAGCGCTACCTGCAGAGACCAGCAGGGGGCAGCCTGACCCAAGGAGTGGGCGCTCCCAGGCCCTGTGCTTCCCAGCTTTGAGGAGTAGCCTGGACTCAAAGGTTCTCAAGGTATGGAAGGATCCTGTGCTTCACTGCACCCCTCTCCCACACCATTATACAGGTGGGGAAACTGAGTCTCAGAAGGGAGAAGGAATTTGTGACTTGCTCAATATCTACTCTTAGTGGCACAATCAGAAAGGAGTCCCAGAGGCAAAAGCTCAAACACCTAAAATGTCATTATAACCCTGTTCCCTGAGAAACATTTTGACATCCCCAGTTCTCAGCCGTAGGACAGACAGAAGGCAGAACCCTCTCCTGCCCCGAGTCTGGCTGTTGGGCTTAGAAGAGAAGGCGGTGTGCTAACGTCAAAAGAGAGAAGCCGGGAGACCTGGCCCCGACCCTGGCAGTAACTGGAAGACAACATGATCCCGCCATGCAGCTCCTATCACTG